CGCCAAGGTCAACAGTAGCATGGATACTAGATGGATCCAGCGTTGAAACAAAGTCCATTTGACGCGAAAGCACATGCGGTGAAAGAGCCTTCTGTTCCGTGCCGATATCGAGTTAGGGCGAGGAGTGAAAGAAATAGGTGTTGGCAACACACCGTTGTTGTAAGGCTGGCTGATTATGATTAAATATGGTCCCCAGCCATAATGTACTGTAATCATAATATAATCTTAAGGTTTTGGCCGATATTTAATCGTAAGGGTATCGTAATGTATTGTAATGGTAGAATAATCGTATTTAATCGTATTTAATTGGGATTACTAGGAATATTTTTGCTTGTCTCATAATCCAGTCTTCCGCACACATAATGTCTAATTTAGCCAGCTCAACGTGGACTTACACAGTTTCTGAGCCATTTCCGTGTTGGAAAGCCTTGCGGCCATGTTACAGCCCACTTTATGCAACAAGTCCTGTCTCTGACTCCACCTCCACTGGAAGAACTCTTTGATTCCTCTGAACAAGATGTTGGAAGTGTACTGAACTTGCAACCAAACCCAAATCAGTTTTCGGGATTTGCCGGATGTCGGTCATGTGCCCATTCGCGTCGAAATTTGCAGTTTAAATAAGGCCAAATTAGGCTCAGTTATTCGTGTTGTGAAAGTGTTGTGACTCCCCCACACAGCTCTACGGTGATAATTTGTACCGGGGTGCCTTGGATCTAGATATTGGGGGACTATGAGCAGTTTGTTTGACCTCTATGGTCCTTAATATTATGATTAAATACGGACACCATACTGTAATGTAATCGTATTCTAACGTAACATAATCCTTGATAATTTTAAGGCCTAAAATTATGGCCGAGCCATACTTAATCGTAATTTTGCAATTATAATTGAATATATTCTAATATAATCATAATTTCAGCCAGCCTTACGTTGTTGAGGATAGGCTGCTCGCAGAGGGAAGCATCTGGACTGCGGCGAAAAACAATAAGATTGGGACGAGCTAGCCTACACCATCGGAGGGAATCGAACCCGCACTTCCTCCATCCAGCAAGACAGGAGAATCCACTTGGGGGAGGTGACCCACGATAGCGTAGTCAAATACAACCCGGGGTATTTCAAACCATTTATTTCGCGCGGTGTCGGATGTGTCGAGGTGGAAAAACTCAGACTTTGGACTCAAAGCGGCGAAAGGACAAAGGAGATCTGGGTTGAAAACGACATCTCGTTGTAGATAGGCTGGAGAAGGCGCGAAAAAAAATAAATCCCAATTTCCAACGCCTGCACGCCATCGGAGGGAGTCGAACCCCCGTGTCCTCCGTGCAGTCCGGATGTCGGCTCTTTGCTTGCGGGCGGTGACCCGTGGTCAACGATGGCGATGGTCTGGGTAGTAAGGAGTGTGGGGTTACAGGGCCGAACGGAGAATGACAATGTCGATAACACACCCGGGGTATCTTGGTAAGGTTGCTCAAAGCAAGAAGAAAAAGGGAGGCGAACACTTTAGAGCCATCGTAGGGAATCGAACCCCCGCTTCCTCGGTTTAATAAACGGTACAACAACTGGCAGGAGGTGGCCGCCGGTCCACGACGGCTGATATGCACCATGCTACAGCTGTTAGAAACGAGCTTCAACGAAGTGACAATCTGCGTGGCTGCAGCTCGTCGTGTCTGCAGAACCTGGCTGCTTCACTTTAGTGAAAACAAATGACTCCACGGAAAAAGAATTCGTCGTGTCCAACGCATGCCGTCGGGCGGAGTCGAACCACCAGCTCCCCCCAAAGATGGTTACAGACTTCATCACAAATGTCCCAGATTTCGGGGCGACCTCCATGGTCAACGACGGCGCATGCATCCCACTTAAACCATCGATGGGGCATAGTCTGATGGTAGCTCGGCACAAGCCTCTCTCAAGTTCAAAGTACCGAGCGTTTGCTGAACGAGGTGAACCAGCTAAAAAGATATATCCCTGATATTCTCTTGGATGCGGCCGGCGGGATGCGAACCCGCGCGTTCACTGACAACATTGGTGCCGGTGAGAGGCACCATGGTCAACGGCGCTGTTTCTCCGTCTGTAATCTGAATTATTGTGCGTGAATACCCAGCTGGGAAGAAATTGTCCGACGCACCATCTTGTTATTCAATGGATGAATAGAAAGATACTTGTTCTGGCGTCTTTGGTCCACGAGCGACGGCGAGGGGGGCTGCAATTGCAATGGCGCACGGTGATCCGCATTGGCAGCCCCGTGGATTCAGAGGGATGAGTGACCACTCATCGCGGGAGATGCGGGCGACGTGAATAGCGGCGCAAAAGAAACGAAAAAGAACCGTCGCGAAGATTACGTGCCATCGAAGGAGTCGAACCCCGTGCATCCGTCATTTACAGGAATTGCATTCGATCCAATGTAGGAAGCGACCGCCATGGTCGAAGATAGCTGGAGATATAAACGTGTTTGGAACGCAAAGCCTGCAGATAGTGAGTGCGCACCTTTCGTTGCTGCGCTGTGGGGATCAATTCGATTCTCCCAGCGACGCGGACGTACAGCTATCAACACGCAGCAAAAATGCAGCTTGCTATGGCATATGATCAGACCATGCGCGGGAGTCGAACCCGGGTTCCTCGCGAATTACCGTCAACCGTGCTCGGATAACAGTCGGAGAGAATATCGCAGCCCACAATGGTGTGTGGAGAGAGAAGCAGTGATGTTATGAGTGCGATGGGAATTGCTGTGAGATGTTGCGCGTTTGGGTGCGTCGGGTAGATCCGGGGCAAAGCACCTAGAGCTAAACGCGCGCGCGAGAGGCAGAAGGCCCTGATGGCCAACGAGATCCGGACAATGGGGCAACTAAGGGCAACGGAACAGAAGAGATAGAGGCGGGTTTGCTATGAGCGGCGACTGTGATAGCGTAATATTGCTGTTAGATAGGCGAGCGAGCGCAAAGGAACAAAAGAGAGCCTGGCTAATCCACGACGATGATCCTTGTTGTCAACTTGTTGTGCGAATCGCGAGCGCCGAGTGAACACTTATCCGAATTTTTCCATCGAGATGTCGGAGCTAGATGTCAACAAGTGGCGGAGACACGGTGGAGCGCACCAGGACGAGAAGATAACCTAGGGCATGCGGATGAGCATCGGACGATGCCGGCTGGCCATGGTGGAGGAAAGGAAGAGGTGCGTCGCCGTTATCCATCGCCGTTGATCGGCGATGACGTTGCAACCGGCCGGCCCGGGTCCTTGCCGGCCCTTCTCTGTCTTACCCGCAACCCCGTTCTCCTTCCAACGGACTTGCAAGTCGCCTTTATTTAGGGTTGAGATGCTTCCCTGGGGCTCGATCTTCCGTTTTCACCTGCGTTCTTCAAGTTCCCGAGGCGTTTGGTGACTTTGGTCACGATCCAGATCTTCCCCGTTCTTCTCCCGAGGCTTGCCCCGAGCGACCGCCAGCCTGCGTTCTCCCAACGTCCTCTTACCGGAAATGTGACGGTCTGCTCTACGACAGGCAACGTTTCTTTGTGACTCATCTGCCGGATGGATTCGGACGGTCCAAGTGGATATCCATGCTTGGTACGGTGACCGCGCTGGAAGAATCACTGGCAGCATTGATTCTCTTTGCAACGTTGCAATCGCGGTTGAAAAGGACATTTTTTGTTTGGCCCGCCATGCTTCACGCTTGCGCGGGCTATCATCCTAAACGGTTAAACCTGCTCAGCCCCTGAAATCAATCAAGTTTCATTCGCTCTGTTTTCTGGCTACAAGAATCAGGAATTCTGGGTGCCGCTGATCGGCGGCTCTGTATATCACTCGGCAGCAAGTAACCCGTCGCAGAAAAAGAATGGCTGAAGAAGATATGCTTTTGGTGGTAGAAATCGAACCCACGACGCTCCCATGTAGCAGCCTCAGATACTGTGCGGGTAGGAAGGGATCAACTATGATCTACAAAGGCTTACTATGGTGCGTGTTGTCCTCAATTTGTGTTCATTAGTTGGAAGGGGAATCACGTTTGGGTTCTCGCACAGATGTATATCGGGCAGCTGTACGAGATCTTGAATGTTATCATCAGCCTGCACGCTGGGCGCAACACAACCAGCCCACGGATGGAATCCTTGCAGAAAAATCTGCTTTCACCGCCCGATGCCTTTTGTAGGAATCGAACCTTGGTGCTGCTTGCATAACAGAGAGGAAGGTATCAACCATCCATGTCACAGGCTTTTAGTACAGTATGCTGCCACCTGATAAATATGGCAGCAAGCAATGGTATTCGGCTGTTTCCAGGGCCTGGTAAGGTTTGGTTCCTTCGCAGTATTACTCGATTCTCCGGCGCACTCACTGCAGCTTCTTCTGTTGCAGAATATCATCGAATTTTCTCCGCGCCTGGCTGATCATCCGTCCTTTCTAGAGAGAAAAGGGATCAACCTTCAACTATGATCCACAAAGTCCACAAAGGCATGGTCCGTTTGTCGCCGCCTCACGGACATGCGATCAGGTTCCTAATGGAGGGGATGAATCTACTAGTAGTGCGCATCATGAAGGGCATGGTTCCGGTTGGGATTGAAGAGATCTACGACTCCTCTTTCATCTGGCAGCTAATTCGAGGATTTGTCTGAAGTGTCAGTGTTGCGCGAGTAGGACGGAAGTAAAACTACAAAGGCGACAAAAATGGAAAGTGGTCTTCGATGGCAAGGCGAAGGCAGAAAACAGGTCCGCAAGTTCTTTGCATGCCGTCGGAGGGAATCAAACACCCGCTTCCTTCTTGCAGCGATGTCGGACTATAGATTACAACCAGTGTAAGGTGACCCCCGTGGTCAACGATGGCATGGGGTGTTTGAAGGGCGTAGCCACAGACACTCTCCGCCGCCTGCCGACACAGATGTGAGCCAAGGTTAAACAATGGGGCTCTAAAATTCCGCGTATAATTCCATTTGGCTCTCTCGTCGGTCAACTAGGGTTGCTCGCAGCGCGAGGCATGTGAATCCCAAAACAAAGCAAAAAAGATCAATGCCATCTACACATGCCATCGGAGGGAATCGAACCCCCGCTTCCTCCGTGTAGCGAAATTCGCAGTCCACTTGCTGGAGGTGACCGCCATGATGGTCCACGATGGCTGATATGCACCATGCCACAGTTGTCAGGAACGAACTTCAACGCAGTCAAGATCTGTGTGGCTGCAGAAACCTTCACTTGGCTGATTAATTTCAGTCAGAGGAATACAGCTAAATAATCACGCACAGAAAGCGATCTATAGGAGAGGAAAAAAAGACTTCGAGGAAGTGCCTTCCATGCCATCGGATGGAATCGAACCACCAGCTCCTCCCAAACATGGTTGCCCTGACAATATCCGGGGGCGACCTCCGTGGTCAACGACGGCGCGTGTGTACTCCTTATAAACCAATCAATGGAGAATAGTCTCCACAATCGCACAAATAGAGTTCTCGCACCTGAGATGCAAGTTCAAAGTATCGAGCGTTGGCTGAACGAGGTAAGCCAGCTAAAAAAAGATACATCTCTGAACTTCTCCCGGAAGCGGCCGGCGGGATACGAACCCACGCGTTCACTGACAATACTCGTGAATCACCGTGGTCAACGGCGCTGTGTTAGTCTGTAACGTGAATTACTGTACGTGAATCAATCGTGAATACCAAGGTAGGACGAAATTGTATGGCGCCCCGGCTTGTGGATCAATCAATGGAACGAGTTGAGCAGAAGACTTAATTCGGAATCCGGCGTCTTTGGTCCGGCGCACGGTGGGTGGAACACTCCAAATATCCTGTTGATGCTGCACTGAGGCAGGAGGGGCCGATTTGGACTCGACAAGGACTGCGTCGTGAAGAAAGCGGTGACGCGAATGGCGCCGCAAACTAAAAGACGGTGGTTCATCGGCCATGCCACCCGAGGGAGTCGAACGCCGGTCCTCCGTTGGCATTCGATCTGAAAGTAGGAAGTGATCCACGATGGCTTGAGATACTGCGAATTACGTCGTTAGCCTTGGAATGTCATGCCTGCAGGATACATACTAGTAATGAGTGCTCGCGTTCCCCTGCGGTAGAAAATCTACTCACTTGTTCCGCCGACGCCGACGTAGCCACCAACGGGCAGCGAAGACGGAGCTGGCACATAAAGAAAAGGAGATCTTGTGGCATATGAGTATGATTATGTAGACGATGCGCGCTACCGGTTGTTTGTTCGGCTGACGTTTTCCCTGCAGGCTGAGGCTGCAACTATCAATCGGCAGAAAAATAACCTTGTCTACGCGATAACATACCATACACGGGAGTCGAACCCGAAGTTCTCGCCGTCAACCGTGCAGCGGGAACAGTCGGAGAGCGTAGCCCACCATGGTGTGTGCGTAAGAAATAGGGAAGGTATGAGTGCGGTGAGAATTGCCAGAGATGTTGCGCGACTGGATCTGAAGACGGGGCAAATAGTGAGCACCCAGAGCTCAACGCGGCGGCGGTGAGATGCAGAAGAATGTAATAGCGAGCGAGGCTTTGACGCCAAGGAACATACAGAGGCGAGGGTTTTCCAGTTCGATAGCCATCGCCGCATCGTTCCAGTGGGCGACCCGGCCGCCGCGACCGAGCGCAAAAGAGAAGCAAAGGAACCTAGTGGACCCTACTAAGGGGGGTTGAACTGCTATAACCATAAGAGGGACGATGAGCCGGGAGCCGGGAGGCAATGTTATGCGAATCGCGAGCGATTTCGGCGATTCGGAATCGAGAGGTCGAAGCTGGATTCCGGCGAGTGAAGGAGGTAAAGCGGTAGCGAGCAGGAGACAATGCCACAGGTCTTTCGGGGCAGGCAGATGTGCATGGGACGATGCTCGCTGGTCATGGTGGCGGGAAGGAAGAAGTGCATGTGTATGTGTATGTGTGTGGTGTTGTTATGCAGCATCGCTGATGATTATGACGTTGCCCCGGCCGGCCCGCTCCCTTACCGTCGTAATTGCGGTTAAGCAAGCTGAGCTCCTCTCCGCCTTGTCATCGGTCACTCCCGCTTGCACAGGGCCACAGCCTAGCATGTTCATCTACTCGCTACTCGCTCAGCCCTCTGGACACAACCAAGTTCTATTCACTGTCCGGACGTCCGGGTAGTATTCGGCAGTGACATCCACTGACATGGCTCCAGTAATCCAGCCACTTTGTGAAACCATGTTGGCGTAACGCATGAGAGTCTTACAGTGACGGCAACAATATGGCTCGACGACCGGGAGAGAACTTGGAGGGAATTGTGAGTTGCACTAATTGAACAGTGGTGAATGGCAGCGCCTGCCGCCGCCTGATAAAAAACATCTTGCAAGCTCACCATGTCATCGAAGGGAATCGAACCCCCGCTTCCTCCATGTGATAATAAATAGGTTCGCCACTAACATGAGGTGACCGCCGTGGTCCACGATGACTGATATGTACCGCGCCGAAGGTTGAGTTGGAACGAACTCAACGGACGGGGCATTTTGATATCTGGGGAGTGGCAGCGCATACGTGGTTGATTTATTTTAGCCCAACGTGAACATCTGGACAAGAACGAAAGCACATCAGAAAAACAATCGCGGACTCCGGGAAAAAAAATGTCAACACGTCTCGACATGCCATCGGATGGAGTCGAACCACCGCTTCCTTCCAAATATCGCTAATGCTGTCGCAAACTCATTCGCAAACTCAGGTGGCGACCTCCGTGGTCGACGATGGCGCTGGTGTCCTGCTTGTAAACCAATCCAAGGGGAAATAATCTTGAGACGGCACAAGCAGGATTGAGGAACCTAAGATGTAAGTTCGCGTTTCCGACGCTGAATCTGGTAAGCCAATGTGAGAAGAGTAGGGTTTTTCACAACCATGCGGCCCGCGGGATGTCGAAATCTTTGCCGGTGAGAATCTGATACCAGGGGCAACGACGCTATAATGGGTGAGTATAAAGGTAATAGGAGAATACACGGGGGAAAGAGATATGACGGTGCTCGTAGGAGCAGGCCACTGGAGAAGCGAATTGGGATTGGGATGGAGTGCCAGCAAAATATCAAGGGAGCGGGCGAATGACCCCCCAAAAAAAACGTACCTCAACGTCACATGCCATTGAGGGGGTCGAATCCCGGCTTCCAGGAGTTTCTTTTCGATCTAGACGTAGAAAGTGACCGCCGTGGTCAATGATGGCCTCGGTACCGTGAATTACACCGGGTTAGCCCTGCAAAACCTACGGATAGTGCATGCTTACGCGCCGTGGCTCAATCATAGCAACAACGTTAACACCGTCTTAAATTGTTTGAACCAAGCTTTGTCTTTGAACTAACATTTGATTCTCACCCTGTAGAAGAACACATCGGAGCGCGGCAGCCCAAGTCATGCCGAAGACGTGAGTCGCGTGACCGTGTATGATCGCATCATAAGTAGTGGCACACGTGCACAAATACAAGCTTCTCCGCAAGGGGCTACCGATCTTAAATTTTTTTGAATGTCCTCTCCTTCTTACTCAGTTTTCGATTCTGAGTCTGATCTCTCGATACACGAAGGCAAACGGACAAACGGTCGTTGAGTTAGAGGGACATACATTATTACCGTGTTTGGTCGATCGGCGGAGCACAGCCCCTCCCGATGCAGTAGCCGATCACATGTCCTCGCAACGGCCAAAAATTATGTCCCACAGTATTAATCTTATCCACCTCCAAGGGACTCCTCAAGGCCCAGGAAGAGGCTTGGAGGCCCAAATGCACACCTCCATGGTATTTTGAGCGGGATTTAGTCTTGCCGAGAGCGCGTGAGAATTTGATGGCATCCTAAAAAGGAGATTTACGGCATACCCCCCACGGGGGGGGTCGCCCAAACCTCTGAAAATAAAGTTTCGAGGTATGGTGCAGATTTCGCGAATCGGTAGCCCCTTGCTTCTCCGATTCCTCCAGCGCTCCACCATCTTCAAGCTTGTGTCGTAGCAGGCTCCTAGGCTCAATCCGGTGTATCCATAACTCTCCTCTGCTCTAAGGCATAGCACGAGTGCGGGTCACCCGCGGGTCATCGCAAGTTTACCCGTGGGAATACTCGTGGGAAACTTGACCCGCGGGTTCGAGTACTCGTGGCTACGGGTTTTCGCGGATCCGAGTCATGATTTTTGAAAAACAGTTTTGACCCGTGAGTTTCAAAGTTGTTTAAAACTTCAATTCCAAGCTAAATAACGGTGAAAGAATAAACTGACCCGCGAGTTGATCCGTGGGAAAGCCTGACCCGCGAGTCAAGTACTCGTGAACACGGGTTTCCCACGGATCCGAGTATCGGTCAAAATACTACGGGTACTCGCATCACGGATCCGGGTCTACTCACGAGTTAACTCGTGACGAGCCCTACTCTGCTCTTTGCCCGCTAGAGTCTGACAGTATCCATTGCTTCAAGAGGGGCGCCAGCGGCTACGCTGCTCACGCATCAATCCCGCATACGGCAACAGAACACTGGGGACCCCGCCTCAGCTTGGGCTATAACTCAATGTTGCAAGCTTATACTGAAAGTTCCACCTTGGTACATTGATCAGTGTGGAACATTGTCGGAACCTCGACTTCGCTTTGCACGTATAGTAGGCAGCTTTTTCATTAATGCCCGCCCCAACTCAACTGGTGGTGACATTGCTGGTCCACATGGATACCTGATTCTTCTATGTCTCGCTGTGGGTACAATCTGTCCATCTCCTTCCTGTTCCGCGTCTCGATCTGCAACGACGATGATGAGGGCTTCGTTACTTCCAGGCTCTTCCTCTTCCTCCTCTTCCCCCTCCTCTTCATCCTTTCATTCTGCCAGCGCTAGAACGTCGCCTCTTCATCCGTTGTTCTCACTTTTGAGAGATGTGCATGGTGGATCTCATTCTGTTCACCGCTCTTGCGGCCTTTAACGGCGCGCTGGCAGTGCCCCTGGTGCCGCTGTCTCCGTGCGTGTCGTTACATCCCCGTAGCTGGTGCTGACGTATAGTTTCCAGGACCCTGGATATTCGGTGTGTATCGCAGCAATGCTGCCGGTCAAGAACTGTGCGTCTCTTTTTTTCAAAAAAGCTGTATACACTCAGGATTTACGTCTCATAGCAGTATAAAATGCAGGGACAGTAACGCGACTACCTTCGTCCGCGCGGTTTCTACTGA